AGCCAATCTGAAAAGGCTACCTAGAAGATTCTAACACTACCACATTCTGGAAAAGGCAACTAGGGAAACAAACAAAAAAGAAATCAGTAGTTGCCAGGCGTTGCGAAGAGGGAAGAACAAATAGGAGGAGCACAGAGATTCTTAGGGCAGTGAAACTATTCTGTATGATACTTCGGTATCATACCTCAGATACTTCAGCAGTAGATACATTTGTCCAAATCCATAGAATCTATGACTTCAAGAATGAACCCTAATATAAATGATGGGCTCTGGGTGATGATAATGGGTCCAGGTAGCTTCATCAATTGTAACAAATGTACCACCCTGAGGGGAGGTGTTACTAGTGAGAGAGGCTGTGGAGTAGGGGAGGGGACAAATGAGAAATCTCTGTACCTTCCTATCAATGTTGTTGCAAACTTAAAAAAAAAATAGTTTTTTTTTCTTAATAAGGCATGGACTTTATTTAGTAATAATGTATTCTAATACATAATATTGGTTCATTATTTGTGATAGTGTGTCATATTAATGTGAGATGTTAGCAATGGGAACACTGGATCTGGGGTATATGAGAAGTCTCTTCACAATTTTCTGTAAATCTAAAACTTCCCTTAAATTAAGTTGATTACTGCAATAAAGGCCTCTGTTACTATTCACTATATTTGGAGCCCTATATAAAATTAGTAAAAAAGCTCTGAATTAAAAATCGAACACCCAGTTTCAGCTTCTGGTGATGGCTGCATAGCTCCTATAGGATCATATTCCACTATAAATCCTAGACAATACAGCTTCCAGTGAGGTAGAACAAGCAAGTAGATAAAGGTGGGGAATCCGCACCTGGAAGTAAGAAAGGCACTGGGTAGATTTCTAATTTTTTTTTTCTTATTATACTTTAGGTTCCGGGGTACATGTGCAGAACATGCAGGATTGTTGCATAAGTACACACATGGCAATGTGGTTTGCTGCCTCCATCTCCCCATCACCTACATCTGGCATTTCTCCCCATGCTATTCCTCCCCAATCTCCCCGCCCTCCATCCCTCCCTTGGCACCCCCCAACAGGCCCCAATGTGTGTTGCTCCCCTCCCTATGTCCATGTGTTCTCATTGTTCAACACCTGCCTATGAGTGAGAACATGTGGTGTTTGATTTTCTGTTCTTGTGTCAGTTTGCTGAGAATGGTGGTTTCGAGAATCATCCATGTCCCTACAAAGTACACAAACTTATCATTTTTATGGCTGCATAGTATTCCATGGTGCATATGTGCCACATTTTCCTTGTTCAGTCTATCATCGGTGGGCATTTGGGTTGGTTCCAGGTCTTTGCTATTGTAAACAGTGCCGCTATGAACATTAAGTGGGCATGTGTCTTTATAATAGAACGATTTATAATCCTTTGGATATATACCCAGTAATATGATTGCTGGGTCAAATGGAATTTCTATTTCTAGGTCCTTGAGGAAGCACCACACTGTCTTCCACAATGGTTAGAATAATTTACACTCCCATCAACAGTGTAAAAGTGTTCCTATATTAAAGTTTTTTTAACTAAATTATTTAAAATACACTTCTTTGATAATTTTATTTCTATGCTACCAATCACATAACTCACATTTGCACATGTGAACAAAGAGCTAGGTAAAGGATCTCACTTGTAAAATGAGGCACGATGCAGTGTCCAGGAGCACTGGCCCTGGAGCTGACCTGCCTGCATGCAAATCCTGACTTTGAGCCATGTGACCTTAAGCAGATGATTTAATTTCTTCTTCCTGCCTCAGTTTCTTCAACTGTAAGACAAGCCTCGTTATGCAGTTACAAGGATTAAATTGGTTAATATTTGTACAGCATTTAGGACAGCACGGGGTACAAAAGTAAGAACTATATAAATTTTTGTTAAGTAAATTGCAGTATTGCCCATGATGGTAAAAAAATAAATAGCTTGAATGTTTATCATTCAGAGAATGGCTGATTACACTATGTCACATCCACGCTATGGAATCCTCCTCAATTGCTGAAGAAAACTAGATCGCAGATTAGTAGGCACTGACACCACCAAAAAATGGGCTAAGAAAGGAATCAGGTGAAAAAAACAAATTGCAGAAGACTAATTATAGGTTAAAATTACTAAAAATGCATGTTTTAATATACACCTATATGTCTTCAAATGAATAGGAAACAGACTGGAAAGATACACACCAAACTGCCAAAAGCAATCGGTTGTGTCTGAAGACCGAGGCTCTAGCCCTGTCTCTGTAAGAACTACCTGTACAATCTTGGCTAAGCTGCCTAAAGCAGGAAACACCTAAGGTAGTTTCCTCACCTTAACGCAGGAGAGGCAGGGATGACTCGATTCAGTAATCCCTCTAATTGATTCCAATCCCCCAAATATCCTGACTTTGATTATGAGATTCTGGTGCTTTCTATAAATAAAAACACTGAATTCTCCAACACTTCATCCTTTATTAGAAGCCCTATGGAACATGGTGTGTTTCAAAAGCAAAGCCTATGACAGATGGAAACATATTCCGTGTGGGTACAGTTCCAACCCCAGATCATGCTCTCAGTAACAAAATCTTTCTTCACCCCAGCCCCCACACGTCGTGTGCTCCTAGAAAAGATAATTGCCTTATCCATTGATATATGAGCAACAGTTTCTTTATTGCCATTTTTGCTTTTTCCTTGGATTGTCATCAGAAATGTATTTACACTATCATTCATAAACATATGTAACTCAATTAATCCAGCCACAAGCAGGAAGACAGGAAACTGCTGTTTTAAAATCAGGGTCAGGTTGTCATCCTCCACCCAATGACAAGTGAGACAGATACTTTGAGTCACCGGCCTCCATTATGATTCTAGGTCACCGTCGGGTGAACCAAAACCTCAGTCGTCAATCTCTGCCTATCCAGCTCTCTCTCATTGATGTAACCTGGAGCCACACTCCTTCCCATTCTGCCTTCCTGCCACCCTGCGACCCCTTCCCCTCCAGCCCATCCCACCACTGAGTTCACCACCGTATATCCCCAGCACCTATGCCAGTGCCTGGCACACAGCCAGCATCAAAAACAAGAATTCAATTGATTCATGCCCACAAAAAAACATTTACTAACTAGGCCAATACATGTAATTATCAGACTAATCTTCCTAAAGGAAAGTACCGATTCCTTCTGTGACTCGGCAAAAGTGTATTCTCGAAAACCTGTAGCACCTATGATGTGTCAAATGTTGTACTCATTTCTGACAAAATAAAGAATGATACACTGCTAAGCTCACAGGTATCAGTGGGCCTCTATTCCTACCAAAGAGAATAGAATTCATCACCAATTCTGCCACTCTGTGACTGTGATCTTGGGCAAGATACTTAAATTCTCTGAACCTGTTTCCTTCATTAATAAGATGGGGATACTGCTACTATTAACTCATGAGACTGCCCTCACTGCTAAATGAGGTAATGCACATAATACATTTAGCATAGTAAGATACCAATAAATGTTGTTTTTAAAATTAATAATAGTATTAGGGCTGGGCAAAGTGACTCACACCTGTAATTAAAGCACTTTGGGAGGCCAAGGAGGGCAGACTGCTTGAGCCCAGGAGTTCAAGACCAGCCTGGGCAACATGGCAAAATCCCGTTTCTATAAAAATAAAAAATATGAGCCAGGCTGAACACAGTGGCTCACGTCTGTAATCCTAGCACTTTGGGAGGCAGAGATGGGTGGATCACCTGAGGTCAGCAGTTCAAGACCAACCTGGCCACCATGGTGAAACCCCATCTCTACTAAAAATATAAAAATTAGCCAGGCGTGGTGGCAGGCACCTGTAATCTCAGCTATTCGGGAGGCTGAGGCAGGAGAATACCTTGAACCTGGGAGGTGGAGATTGTAGTGAGCCGAGATCACGCCACTGCACTCCAGCCTGGGCAACAAGAGTGAGACTCTGTCTCAAAAAAAATTTATTTTTAATAAAAATTTGCCAGGCGTGGTGGTTCGAGCCTGTAGTCCCAGCTACTCAGGAGGCTGAAGTGGAGGATCACGTAAGCCCAGGAGGTAGAGGTTACATCGAGCTGAGATCACACCACTGCCCTCCAGCCTGGGCAACAGAGCAAGCTCCTGCCTCAAGCCCATTCAAAGGTGGGCAAAGGATATAAACAGACACTTTTCAAAAGAAGACATTTATGAGGCCAACAAATATATGAAAAAATGCTCATCATCACTGGTCATTAGAGAAAAGCAAATCAAAACCACATTGTGATATCATCTCACACCAGTTAGAATGGCGATCATTAAAAAATCTGGAGACAACAGATGCTGGAGAGGATGTGGAGAAATAGGAACATTTTTACACTGTTGGGGGGAGTATAAATTAGTTTAACCATCGTGGAAGACAGTGTTGTGATTCCTTAAGGACCTAGAAATAGAAATTCCATTTGACCCAGCAATCCCATTACTGGGTATATATCCAAAGGATTATGAATCGTTCTATTATAAAGACACATGCACACGTATGTTCACTGCGGCACTGTTTACAATAGCAAAGACCTGGAACCAACCCAAATGCCCACCGATGATAGACTGGACAAGGAAAATGTGGCACATATACTCCATGGAATACTATGCAGCCATAAAAAAAGATGAGTTGGGGTCCTTTCTAGTGACATGGATGAATCTTGAAACCATCATTCCCAACAAACTGACACAAGAACAGAAAATTAAACACTGCATGTTCTCGCTCATAGATGGATGTTGAACAATGAGAACGCATGGACACAGGGAGGGGAGCATCACACACTGGGGTCTGCTGCAGGGGGATAGGGGAGGGACGGAGGCGGGTAGGGAGGTTGAAGAGGGATAACATGGGGAGAAATGCCAGATATAGGTGATGGGGGGATGGAGGCAGCAAATCACATTGCCATGTAGGTACCTATGCAACAATCCTGCATGTTCTGCACAAGTACTCCAGAATCGAAAGCACAGTAAAATATATATATATATATATATGAATGAAACAATAATAGCAAGAACAAAATTCAAATGTGTTAGTGAATTGAAGACTTCAAAACCTGGTACCAATAAACCACTTTAAGCCTCAACCTCACATACCCTGTCTATCTGTCAAAAAAATCATTATCTGGAATCTGCCCAACTGTGCTTTGGTCCTGTAATTCACTGTAGAAAACCATCCCACCCCTTATCCCAACCCTCACTCCATTCATCGTTAACTCCTACCCATCCTTTGTTGCCCAGCTTAATATTCCTTCTCTGTATGTTTCTCTGCCCATCATAGCACCTCCCTCCACAGTAAACTTCATCTACGGTCCTATGGTACTTTAAAACAGCACCTCATCTATTCTTCATAGCGCATTCATTCAACATGCTTTTGCGATGAAAGACACATCTGTTTCGTGACAGGTGTTTCATTTTGTGTTGGAGATGCTGGGGTCAACGAGGAAGTCCCTGCCCACAGTCTAGCAACAGAGTTAGGCATAAAATAAATAATTACTATCATGCTGTGAAACATATAATCAGTCTTTGATCCTGTTTCCTAGCATGCAACTCCTAAAATACTTAGAAACACCAAAGTGATGTCTTTTGCATGCTAATGAGTTGACTGGTGGCTGGCAGGCCCTAGGTAGCTTCTAGGTGGAGACGGTCACCAGAAAAAACAAGGCAGGATTAGAGGATCAGGCTTCCAGCCCAGAAAGAGGGGAGGGAAGAGAGGCTGAAGGTTAAGCTGATCACCAATAGCCAATGATTTAACCAGTCATGCTTACATAATGAAGCTTCCATAAAAACCCAAAAGGACCAGCTTCAGAAAGCTGAACATGTGGAGGCAGACAGGATGGTGAACAAGAGCTCATCCACATGCGGGGGAGGATAGTGCACCCCAACTCCATAGCAACAGAAGCTCCTATACTCAAGACCCTTCTGACCTCACCCTATGTAGCTCTTCCTCTGGCTGTTTGTATCCTTTGTAGTATGCTTTATAATATGTGGGTAAACATGCTTCCCCAAGTTCTGTGACCCACACTAGCAAATTAATCAAACCCAAAGAGGGGGTTCATAGGACTCCAAACTTACAGCCAGTCAGTCAGACATTCCAGAGGCCTAAACTGGTGTGTCAGGTGGGAAGCGGGGCACTCTTGGGGGCTGAGCGTCCAACCTGTGGAATCTAATGCTATCTCTAGTTAAACAGTACACTGGAGGACACCTGGCTGTTATCCACTGCAGAAATGATTGCTTGCTTGGTGATGGGGAGAATTTCCCCCCACCCCATTTGGTCACAGAAGTATTCTGTGTTGATTGTTATTGAGTGAGAGACTAGAAAAAGCACTTTGAGTTTGTTTTTTTCCACGATCAGAACTATCCAAATAATTTCTGCATTAGAATTGTGATAAGCATCATAAGCAAAACAGATAAAAATACAAATGGGATTACTTCTGCTGTCTTGAGAACTAGACTAAAGGCAAGTCTGTTTCAACATGGAACCTCCAGAGCATACTTCATAAATGCTTGTTAGAGTCAATCAAAATTATCTTTTCTATTAAAAGTTAACTCATTTGAGAGTAGGGACTTTGTCTCAGCAGAGATGCAGTAAAAAGAATAAGATGCGACTGGGTGCAGTTATCACTTGTTGACTTACCAGCCATGTAACTTAAGCTGACTTCTCCGATTTCAGATTCTTCACATGAGTAAGAGAATAAGCCTTTAGAAATCATTAAAAGCACTATACATGGAATATTATCTGTATCTAGCCTGCTACAATTAACGCATGCTGTAAATATAGCGAGGGTTTGGCAGATGTTTGTTAAATGAATGTTAAGTCCCTGGCCAAGGCCAGGAGTGAGCTGTTATGACCTTGATTCATGAGCAAGGACCAGTGTCAGCCCTGAAACATCTACTCAACCCTTTATAATTAAAACATGGAATAATTTCTCTAGATAAGAAGCATGGACATTTCTTGGCAACGCTTAGAGATGAGAAAGATCTGTTCTCATAAAAGACCCTGTACGCTGAAGCTATCAGAAGACAGTGTTTTCACAAGGACTCATTTCTGAATCGCTTCATGACTTCACATCTCAATCCCAGAACCAAAAGTGAGGGCCAGTGGAAGAGGTCATCCCATAAATGCAGTGATGCTGGTGTGATTCTAACACCGCCTCTCCATTCCCATTATTTTTCCCTTCTAGGCTCCAGATGGTCTTTTTTGTTGTTGTTACAAGCAACCAAGACAAGAATAAGAGCAACAAAACACATGTTGTAGAAAAGGTATTTCCCTGAAGCCCTGGCTTGGTCTCCAAACCACCACTATGAGATGCCGCAGCTGGTATCTTCTCTTCCAAGTCGCTGTCCCGTCACATACGTACACATGAGCACTTCAGCTACAGCTGCTCTGTGCAGAGGGGAAGATAGCTCTATGCAAGATGTAAACACAAAGCCAGGCAGCACTATTCTATTCTCAGTCTTCTTCCCCTTCGCCAGCCATTTTTGTTTCCTAGTGGAGTCATCTCAATCTTCAACAAGTCACTGTTTTTTTTTGTTTGTTTGTTTTTGTTTTTGTTTTGTTTTTTGTTTTTTTAAAGAGACAGGGTCTGGCTCTGCCACCCAAGCTGAAGTACAGTAGCATCATCATAGCTCACTACAGCCTCTACTTCCTGGGCTCAAGTGAGCTCTGGCCTCAGCCTCCCTTGTAGCGGAGACTACGTGTATGTGCCACTATGCCCCGCTAACTTCTCAATTTTATATAGAGACACAGTCTCACTATGTTGCCCAGGCTGGTTTCAAATCCCTAGTTTCAAGGAATCCTCCCACGGCTCAGCATTTCTTCTTTTTATTTTTTTTTAACTTCTTTCAGCCCATGCTGGAAAAGCATGCCATTCATATCATGGATGAAATCTAACTTGAGGATAACTGGCCTAATTATGCTCTCAGGTAATCTCGATTTTTCATGTAACAGTTTAGAGACATTTATTATATTCCAGGCATAAGGTTAACAATAGTCTGCAATCATTTATTATGGACCAGGCACTACATGATTTTCATGAAGCCTCCAATAAAATCAATGCCACAACCCTGTTAGGTAGACGGAAGTGCATCTGTGGGTTGGACGGTCACCAAGCACTCTGGCAGCAGACTGGCCAATGCCCATGTGCTGTCACCTGTGCCTACAGTGTTTCTGCTGTGAGGATGGGGAAGCTTGTGTGGCCCTTGAGTCTAAATGGCACATGTGCTAGAAATCCCCAGTATGGCCCTGTTCAGAGAGATCTGGGGTCTCAGAGAACTTTTAACAGCCAGAAATTAACCCCAACAAGAACAGCTTTCTGGCGTGTGCCAGAAAGTTGTTAGCAGTTGTTAGCAGACAACTTGCAAACAATGACAGGGAAGTTAAAACTGTAGAGAAAGAGACTGAAAGCAAAGGAAATCCTGCAGACACTGATTTCATCCGACAAAACAGTCCTCTAAAGCAAACAGGGGCAATTAAGAGTTGTTTCAAAAAGAAAGTCTTGTTTTGTTTTTTTGGGGGCAGGGAAGAACCAACCACTCCTGGCTTTTCAGTTGGTAGACGTATCTATGTCCTTTTCTTTCCTCGAAGGGCTCAGGCAGTGTGGGGCATTTCCTGGGTCTGAATCACCTTCATGAGAGAATATGCATAGAAAAGGGAGAATATCCAAGAGGAATAAAGCGACAGTTAACTGACAATTTCTTACTTCTCGGCATTCCCACTTATAGGTCTAGGAGAAAAAAAGGGCCGGAGACTACTGATGAAAACCCAAGATGAAGAATCCAAGACCAGTTCTGCCAGAATTTAGTTTCATTCCCCAGAGGAGGACAGCAGCCCCACTTTTCAGATGGAAGACAGCACCTAAGGCACTTGAGAAAAATTCATCTGATCAGAGACACCAACATTTTCCAGGTTTAAAAAAAAAAAAGAAAGAAAAAGGAAAGGGAGGAAGGGAGGAACAAAGGGAGGAAAGGAGGAAAGGGAGGAACGAAGTGAGGGAGGGAGGGGCGAAGGAAAGAGGGAGGGGAGGAGAGGGAAAGAGACAGGAGAGGAGGGGAAGGGAGGGATCCTCCAAATTCAAGGGCTGATGTTTTTGAGAAATGAACAAAGTGCTTTAATGCTTCATTTACAATGAAGCTGTCAGGATTTCAGAAGCTTAGAAGTTCTTTCCCATTTTTTATTTTTTTGCCACAAAAAAATATAACTTGAGGCCCCTCTGGTTACACAGCCCTGGTAAGTCTCTAAATTATATGCAACGTCAATTTTAAATATTCTGTGACAAAATGCAAAGGATGATTACTAAATACTCCTGTCAGTGCCTTTGTCCATTTTTAAAAAGAAAAGCATATTTATTTAAACTATGTATTATAGGCAAATGAATATTTAGAAGTTTCTTTTTAAACATTTATACACTACAATTTTCATGTTAACCAATAATTCCTAAAAGTTAACAAATCGAGAGGGTTTAAGTTCTTTTCTGCTAACTTGACAACCAAGAACGCCCTGCTGTTGTTCACACTCTGTGACCAAGAAGAAAAATAAGTCCTCCCCTCCTGAAAAGTGACTCCTTGGTAACATGGCAACACACATCGGCCTTCCATTTCAAGAAGTCAGTTTTTACTGAGAAGGGAGAATTAACAACCCAGATTCTTAATAGGGTTCACAGACGAGGTGAGCATTGCAACAAGTGTCTAATGCAAACATTTACTGGAAACTTGTTTCTCGACTTACAGAGAATGTGAAGTTCTAAAAAGTTACTTTAAATTAAAAGGTCGTTAGTTCAGATTAAAATTTGAGGACTGGTGGCTTTTTTATTTAGCTACTGGCCCTCAAATTTAGCCCCCAAATGAAACTCCTGACTTGACTGAGACACTCCCCCAAATAAAATACCTTTCATGTCACCTTGAACGAACTGAAGTGACCAATGAAAAGGGTCACTGGCACAACTCCAATAAACAGGACAAAGAGTTCATTCATCACCACCTGTACATTTCAGAAGGAGGCATAGGGGCTTTGGGAAAAGGTGCTGAAATTTGTTTTCTGCATGAGAGAAATTAAACAGTTGCTAAATAGACCAAATTAAAGTTACATGCCATTAGAGAAATGAGAAATAAAGGACTATTTACTAAAAAGACAAGAATATCCTAGTTTCATAAATATGCACACCCTTTTCCACTTTCAAAGTTCTTAGATGATGTTGCTAGAAAAGATTGTGGAAAAGGAAATCCACACGTACAACCAACCCTAACTTGGTGTGTTTGCAGCACAAACAAAGGTGAAAAACTGAAGACGAATGCTGCCTGAGACACAGTACACAATTAATTAACCAAATCCAATTCCAGTGGTTTTAACTCAATTGCAATTTAATCTTGGCTGTGTCTTTCCACTTATAGCCAGATTAGTCTTATTAACTGTATCCAGTACTAAAAACAAACCTGGGCTGAGCTGGGGAAAGACTCCATTTAAAGGAATATTTTTTAAATGGTGTTCTCTAATAATCCCTCACCATACATAGCTCTGACAAAGTGCTGACAAGTAAGAGAGGGTCTGATTATTAAATTCAACATGAGAAATAAGAAGTAGAACCGCTTACTCACAGGCCGGGACTTAGACTGAGCCAATCCTGTAGCTATGCTTCGTAAGTGGATACAGAAGTAACTTGAATTTAACAGTGAAATAAAATAGTCTGAATCATCCTCTAAGACCTCCTCGCAAATAAACAGGCTGGTGTCCTGTTTGATATTCCACCTATTAGCCACTAAGTTCTAAGGAGGGAAGGGCAAGGGTGTTTTTGATGTATTTGAGGTTGAACTCCTTGGACTGGGTACATACTTAAACTCCCAGTGTAACTGCATAGGAAGGGGGCTGGGAAGTAACATTTTTATGTGCCTACAAGACTCCTAACACATCGTCTTTCTTGATGTGGATATTATTTTACAGCTTAAGTAACTGATTTTCAAAGGCATTAACGTACAGTAGATAGTAAAGCTAGTATTTGAACCCAATTACATTACATTGTCTTTGACATCGACGCCATGCCACTCTGTCACCCTATGTGCTAAAGTCCTTTGACACCATAGAGGCCTGGGATACAATTAACAGAGATAAATCCATGTCATTTAGAGGGAAATGCAAATAGGGGGTCCAGGAGCAGTAACACAAGACACACGTGAAGAATGGTCTTTTCATTGCTTATGTTACAGTTTGCCATTAATGCTAAGTTTAGAAAAAAGTTTTAATTTCTTCGCTACGCAATTTTAATAAATGCATATGTTATTTAATCATGAGTAAATGTGAGTGATAAATCTATGTGCTTCTTAAAACCAAGATGCAAGAATAAAAATAAAATGTCAGACATAATCTTTCCTAAAAGAAATTAAAATTTATCAGGGACATGAGGGGATCTGAGTGAGAGAAGAGACTGTAAATACAACTTTACTATATATAAATAGTGTCTAGCACAGGTCTTGAATGGAGTAGACACTCAACAAAAGTTTCGTTGTGTTTCACTTTCTAGTCCAACATATAAAGCCACAGATAAAGAAGCAAAGGCCCAGACAAGTCAAGAACATTGCTGGAGGTCACACTGCTAGTCCGGGACAAAGCAAAGGCTGGGACTGAAGTCCTCCAGCTCCTAAACCAGGGTTGTTTTCCGAACACTCAAACTCAGTCTTCAGGGCCCTCTCTTCCCCTGGTCCTATCTTATGAGCACAGACTTATTCACAGAGCACTACCTCCAGTGTGGTCCGTCAAGATTTCATCAGAATAATGCAGCACATGATCATTTAAAAGGAATTAAAAAAAAAAAAAAAGGCCAGAGTTGGCCCACTGACTGGTTTATTTCACTGAGTTTTAATCACCACCCTACACCTCTGCCATTAAATTGTCTACTCGTAAGACAGATGCACAACCTTTTAAAGCAGATGATGTTTTAACAGGAAACAACACAAAGCACACTACTGCTTGCGGTCTTGGGTAGCTGAAGGTGGAGCGTGCATTTGCTACTTTTGACTGGTCTAAGGAACAGCCAGATAGAATGAACAGTGACGGAGCTCCGCCCAAGGCAAGAACTCCTGGAGAGGAGGAAGGATTCAGGAACTATCTATCTCTTAGCTCCAAGTCTTGGCTCTACACCTCCAGCTGGACTTTTTAGTCTGGGCAAGTTTCATAACCCTAAGAGGTCATTCTCTTTTGGCTGGAAAATGGGTATAATTAACCAACTTTACAAAGTTGCAATGAGGAAATAAAATGACATAAAGGCAAATGAAAGCTCTGAGTGTACACACCCTCTAATGCACCAGCAATCCTAAGGTCCTCTCGTGGTGCTGGGAGAAGACATTTTCTGCTTCCCAAATCTATCCTCCCAAAGAAAAGAATTCCTTCTTCCAACTGAAGGAAGGACTCAAGAAGAGGGGGAAACATTTTTGCATCATTATCATCATAATCACGTGCACTGACCGCACGCTTACAAGGTAACTGACATTTCAAGAGCGTTCCATAACTCCTTTAGTCCTCTGACCCTCTAAAATTGTTCTGTCTCTACAAAAAAATTAAAAATTAGCCAAGCATGGGGCTGCTAGCCTGTAGTCCCAGCTACTCAGGAGGCTGAGGTAGGAGGATCATTTGAGCCCAAGAGGCCAAGGCTACAAAGAGCCTT